TGTAAATTTTTTGGTCATTTGTACCAAAAACTCTTACTATTGCTTTTACCGAAAGATCGAAGCGATTCCATGGCAAAAACACCACGAAAATCGCTAATTTCGGTTTTCTACAGTAACCCACGTGGAGCGCGTTTTAGCATGCCAACACAAAATTCCATAAAGTGGCGATTTTTCTGTTCGAGGGCCTTCTAGAGTTGATTGTAAGATAACCTGAGAAAAATTACCGATTTTGGGTGGTAAATCACAAAGTTACGAGGCCAAGTGCAAAATAGGCCAGAGAGCCGATTTTTGGTCCGAGTAGCCGGGGTCAATTTTCGAATTTTTAAAAATAAAAAAACCACCTAAGTCTTTTGGATACGATTATAGCTTTGATGTTATTATTTATGCCTGTCAAATTCCGGAGCAATCTGATTCAAAATTATGGTGACTTTCAGCTCTCAATCGAAGATCACCCTATTCCAAAATCGAAGTTTAAAATTCTTTAAAAAAAATTTTCGACGGAAAATTGTCTTAGTCTTTGCATAGTTTTATTCAACTGATAGCACAGGCTTATTGCTCAAAATATCTCTACGACTCCACCTTCCAAAATTTTTTGACGCAACCTCCAATTCGGTTTATTTCGGGTTTTGATGAATTTTCCTGGCGCCAACCGCTGGTTAAAAAAATTCATGAATAAGGCTTTAGGATGCGCTATTCAACAGGTATCAGATAAAAACAAAACAATAATTTTCACAGCGCGACTAAATTTTATAAAATGGTGACAAGATTCGGAAAAAAGCGCGAACCAACCGTTTTGGAAGCCCTAAAAGACGCCCTTCCAAAGAGGTACGGTAGATCGAAATTTTGTAAATGATAGATAAACCCCAGTACTGCATAGCTAAGCAAAGAAAACAGCTGAGTCCCCTTTGGCAATTTAAAAATATTTTTCTAAAGTTCGGTTTCGTGACCTCGAAAAATCCATGACCAGGGGGTCGTTGAAAAACTCGAAAATTCGTCGATCTCAAAAATTCTTTAATATGTTTATGCGATTGTGTCAAGCCCGTAGGTATTCCACAACAACTGATTTTGAGGTTTTCGCCATAGGTCTTTTCAATATTAAAAATTTTCGAAATTTCTTCATACAAAATTTCATTCCTCTCTAACTTTTCAACCAGACCCTCATAAATTCTTAAATTTTTTAGGTACATATCTGCTGCTTATATTAACTTACGTAATAAAAATTAGATGCCAGCCACCACAGGAAACTGAGAAAAATACAGATGAAGTTTCCCCGAACGCACAGTTTTCGGGTGTCATTTGTATTGATACGTCGCCAAAAATCGAAAAAATCAAGTTGTGTTAAATCTTCATGCCCAGCATATTTAAGCATTCTGGCATGGTAACGTACCTTCGATTCTCTACCGTTCGCGAGTTATTTCGACCCAAACTCTGTACTTTTTTTTTTTGCCCACCCTGTAATTACTTCGGCCAGTTATGAGTGAGAGTGCTAACTATCTTAGGCTTCATTTCTGTAAGTTGAAAATCATTAAATTGGAAATTATCAATTTTTGCTTTATATTGTCCTTTTTTATGAGCTCTATCTCGTTGTGGGGGCTGAATGGCTAATGGCATAGCTAATGACTTTTCGAATTAATGACCCTTTGAAGTAATGACTTTCGAAGTAATGACCTTTCCCCGGCCAATAATGGTTATATGTGCTTTCCCCGTTGGCCGGAAGCGACATGTTTGTTATTTGAAAAAAGTTTCACATGTTTTTATGTTCCGTAATGCCTAAATAGTAACAGAAAATAGTTAAATAGGTTATGTCAAATCTAAATTGGAAAATTCGGCTCCTGGGGGAAGTTTTTGACCGCCGTCCGATAGCTCCTTTTTGATACCCTTTTCGTCGCCCTAACCTTTACGTTTTGTACGCTTCAAAAATTTCCAACACTTTTAATGAGTAGGAGGTGGTCAAAAATGGTAAAAATTAACGAGTGATAGTCGGAATCACGAAATTTCTGAATCTCGAAATTCCGGAAATATTGGGGATACCCATATGCAACGATTCGAATCTATCGAGATTCAACTATACATAGATGGTTCCTATACAAGAAAACATCCGCTCTAACTCGGCGGAGCAACGTCGGATCGGGATGATAGTTATATCATCCGGAAGCCCTTCAAACGGCGAGTTTGCCACCACCTTGATAAACACCTTTTTATTTCCGGGGGGGTTTACTTTCGTTTATCGGAAATCCTGTATTTGAATCTCGAAAAATTGGAATTCTACATAATAGTTTTGCTTCCAGGAATCCGACCATATTTCCGGAATTTCGAGATTCCGCTATTTCGAGACCAGATGGTTCCAGTCGCTTCGCGACTGTAACCATCTGGCCTTCGGGTTACCCTTGATGTAATACACCTAACTATCCACCTACTTCTACTAACTACCTAAATACCTTCCCGAAGGCTTTAGATACGCCCCCTAGCTGAAATCCCTTTCAAAAACTACCTAAATACCTTCCCGATGGCTTGAGATACCTCCCCTAGCTGAAATCCCCTTCAAAAACTACCTAAATACCTTCCTGATGGCTTCAGATACCCCCCATGGCTGAAATCCCCTTCAAAAACTACCTAAATACCTTCCCGATGGCTTAAGATACCTCCCCTAGCTGAAATCCCCTTCAAAAACTACCTAAATACCTTCCCGATGGCTTAAGATACCTCCCCTAGCTGAAATCCCAGTCAAAAACTACCTAAATACCTTCCCTATGGCTTAAGATACCTCCCCTAGCTGAAATCCCCTTCAAAAACTACTTCGATACCTTCTTGATTGTTTAAGATACCTCCCATGGCTGAAATCCCCTTCAAAATCAACCTAAATACCTCCCTGATGGCTACAGATACCTCCCCTAGCCGAAATCCCCTTAAAAAACAAAAATAACGACCGACCGGATGGAATGAGAGCAAAAAAGAAATGAAATCCCCCGTGAAAATTTTCATCCACGAAACGCGCGCGACCTGGCTCACTATGTCCAAAATCAGCCCAACCTCTGTCCCCCACCCCTTTTACTAAGGAAAAAACTTTCAAAGTTAATTTTAATAATTTAAACTAAAACTTTTTCATATTTTTTTTATCATTTTGGGGGTTTCTGACCACGCTCTATCCGAATCCGAAGAGAGCTAAGCTCTAGCTCTTTTCCCCTTCGAGTTGAATTCGGCTTCGGACGGACGGACGGACAGACGCGTCAAGAAAATTATTATAGTTGATTCCGCTATTTCGAGATCCTGAAATTTCGAGATTCCGACCCCTACCCAAATTAACTCGTGTTTACTCTTCACACCCAGCATATTTAAGGGTAAAGGTCGCTTAACAGGGGGGATAACGGGAGTGGAAATCATTTTTCCGCTATAGGGACCTATCGTGCCAATTCAAGCACGCCATCGGATAGGGAGTCGCAAAATCAACCAAAAAAATTAATTTCGGCTCGAAATAACGTAATTTTAATTTGTTATTAAAGGAACAAAGCTCTGGGCCGTCCATGAGGTATAACCACAAGGTGACCGTAATTTTCGGTATTTTTGGCTGTTTTGACGGGATTTCATGACTGCCAGCGGATAGAGCATCAAAACATATACTAAGAGCGGGGCGTCGCATCGAAAAATTCATGCGGACGCAGGCGGCGCGAATTTTGCGGCCGAATTTTGCGGCCGAATTTTGCGGCGCAACAAATATTAATGGAAATCATTTAAATTCAGAATTTGTTTTGAGTTCAGGATCAGATTTCAGAGGAATTTCAGAAATTCAGAATCAGAATCACCGCCAGTTTTGTTTTTGTAATGGTTACATATGTAATTCCATACAAATTAACTGCAACTTTACGCAATGCCGTGACAAGAGACCTCTTGGGGGCGTCAGGCAAGGTGGGCCGTCGCTTCGGATGGGCTGCCGCTCCACTCTTTCGAAATCGAGGCGCCTGGGCGCTTCGCGCTGCTCGGGCGCCCCGATTTCGAAACCCTGCACGAGCTCGCACCCATCCGAAGCGACTATGCCCCCCGGGTGGCACGAAGCCTTTTTCTAGTCGCAGAGCGAAAGAAATAGCGATTAATTTCCCCCAAATCGAGTGACTCCTGTCGCAAAACAGTCTTCTCACGTTTCTTCTATGACGAAATTCGGATGCAGTGCAAAATATAACCAAAGGCCTGTGCCTAAGCATCTCGCCGCAATCTTCGGCCGCAAAATTCGCGCCGCAAAGTTCGCGGCACCTTCTCGACGCTCTATCCGATGGCGTTTTTAAAATAGCAGGATATTCTGATAAATACAAAAATTGTTTCAACCCCCGTTGTTTGTCCCCCCCCTCGTTAAGCGACATTTGCCGACTCAAGCATCCTGGAAAGGTAATGATGACCCATTCGTCACCGTTAGAGATATTTTGACCGAAACTTGGATCTTTTTTTATCCACCCTATGTAGAAATGACGAAGGAGGGATGGCTCGGATTGGAATAATCGAGAGATTAACAAGGCAGATGAAGACGAGACGTGTCTCTATTGATGTCCATCATGAATTATGGCCACCACAGATGGTCAGTTCGATCAGAAATATTACACACTATTCATTTAGACTATACCACCAGCTATTATTCAATTGAGGAATTCTCATCTCTTTCGACGCAACAATTTTGTTATTTATCCCGTATTTGGACCCGGGACGGCATTGGATGATGAGAGGTGGGTAGAGAGAGAGAGAGAGAGAGAGAGAGAGAGAGAGAGAGAGAGGAGAGAGCGAGAGCGAGAGAGAGAGAGAGAGCGAGAGAGAGAGAGCGAGAGAGAGGGAGAGAGAGAGGGAGAGAGACCTATTCAACTGCAATCTCAGATATCTGAGGCTAGATTGTTGGATCCCCGATGGAACATCTCCCGGACAGGTATTATTCATCAACGTTGTTCGATTAGTTGCAGGCTCTTCTCTCTGTTGTCAAACTGACTCCAGAAGAATATTTGGACGTCTACACGGATGCATTCATGAAGGTTTCTCTCTCTCTCTTTCTCCCTCTGTCTCTCTCTGTCTCTCTCTGCCCCATTCTATCGTCCCTTTTCAGCTAATCGACTGCCCTCTCCTCCGTTTCTCTCATATCTATGAGAAAGAGACAGATTGTCTCCATTCTCTTCATTTCTTCCAACAATTCATCCATCACATCATTCAATCCGTAATTCTTTTCTATTCTACTTTCCATTCATTTCCTATAGGCTATTCCAAATGGAGAGGGACGTCGTCTTGTCATTCTCGATATCTACACTACCCAACAACTTCAACAGGTACAATATCAAATAAATGATCTCTGCTCGTTTGCCTGAATATCTTAATACCAGTGGAAAAAGCCCGCTTCGCGGCCATTTTCCACTGGACCCCCGTCTAAGAACCACGAATTCTAACCCTTTCCTTTCCAAGCCTGCGGCGCAAGTGCCGGAGTCCCCGGAGCCATTCCTCGGCCTGAGGCGCCGGAGCGCGGGCTACGTTCGAAACCTTGAGCCTGCGGCGCTAGCTACTGACTTTACTCTCCATATTGGGCCTGCGGCGCAAGAACCGGAGTAAAGGAGCCATTCTTTGGCCTGCGGCGCCAGAGCCAGCGTTGCGCTAGAATTTGTAAGCCTGCGGCGCTAGTTACTGGTTTTTCTCCAGGCTTTGGCCTGCGGCGCAGAGCCCGGGTCCAGGCCCCATCCGCCTGCGGCGCAAGAGCCCGGGTCCAGGACCCATCCTTGCCTGCGGCGCAAGAGCCCGTGTCCAGGAACCATCATTAGCCTGCGGCGCGAGAGCCTTGGGCCAAGGACCTTTTTGGCCTGCGGCGCTAGAGCGAGGGCCAGGCCTATCCCCCGCACGCCGAAAGCCTAGAAATATGCTTTGTTGCTGAACTACCAAAAGCAAAAGTTAGATCCGGGCAGGATCCGAACTCACTACTACGCGCCTGGCAGATAGACGCAATTGCACTGCACCACCGTGAGGATGGGAACAGGCAGCGGGAAAGGCCTCTTCTCCCCTGGCGGAAGGGTGGGGGGAGGCAAAGAGATTGGCGACCCATGATCCCAGAGGGAGGCCTACTGGTCACTTTACGAAATTCGGTTTTCGAGTCTGAATCAGCTGAAAATTCGTAAAGATAATAAGATGCGCATGATCCCCACCGTCGAATACATAACTTTTCCAAATTCCAGCCCGAAATTCCATCTGCGCTTCGCGTTATGCCCCGGACACCACGGCTCTTGGCCCATTTTGTTAAGGACTTTTTGGAAAAATGCTCATAAAAATTTTAGTTTACAAAATCTGCCAAAACGCAGAATTATATCACAGGAGAATGTAATTTTCAATCTGCCCTCCAAAAATTAGCGCCTAATTCCATTTGGCTCGGGAGATATCCTCTGAACAAACCTTTTTTCGGCCAAGCTGTTAAGGATTTTTCACTATTTTGCTTGTAAAACCGTTAAATGAAGGAATTTCGCAAAACAAAAAAATGCGTCACTGACAAATGTGTTTCTCCACCTCCATGCCAAAAATCAGCCGGAAATTCGGCCTGACGGCCGAGAAATCGGCTGTACAGAAAACAAACATACTTTTCTCGCTTATAGGATAGGATTCGATCTGTCTGTCAGACAGACTATGCTCCATTCCACAAATGGTCTCTGCTAGTTTCCCCTTCTTCAGGAAACATTGAAATGTCTGTCTGATGAATATGAGATGATGATGGGACGATTGATCGAATGGATAGAGAACAACGCTAGGGGGCAGAGTATTCAGGTGAGAGAGAGAGAGAGAGAGAGAGAGAGAGAGAGAGAGAGAGAGGGAGAGAGTGAGCCAGTCCTTGACAACGGGCCGGGCCGGGCCGGCCGGACAAAAAGCGAGGCCCGGCTCGGTGACCAATAAGCCCGGCGCAGGCCGTAAAAATTTTTTCCACTAAAGAGCCTAAATTTTTCTAATAAAAATATAACAAGTAAACCGTAGCCGGCGGCTTTTCTGGTGTCTTTCTGACAAAAGTGTTTTTTACAAAAATCGCAATTTAAGAATTTTTGCGCCTTTCCTGGCAGCCAAACGACAGCTTTTTAAAAGCCGTTTGCGAAAACACAGCTTGGATAGCGCTTAAACCGGTTAAATTGCGTTTTGGACAAAATTGTGTTTTGGACAAAAAGCGTGTTCTTTTTGCATGAAAAATGTCAAAAACCGAGCAAAAAATTCCGTCATTTCCAAAATCCAGAGACGTGCTGGACTGGCCTCTGCGAGAGCTATCGACAGATAGCTAAATCGTAAAAATCGGACCGGTCTGCGGGCGGTTAGGGGCGGGGGATTTTTTTTGGGCCACCTGGTATACGCGACAAAGGTAAGAAAAGGCAAGTCAAAGACGGAAAAAGGTTTTGGAAAGCCAAAGTGGCAAACCTAGGGCAAACCCTCCATTTAAACGGATTCAGTTCAAACTAGTGATGGGGGTTTGTCAAAGCAAATCCGGGCTCAAATCTGTGGATTTGCTTAAGCTTCCGGTTCTTATTCAAGTCTTCACAGTTTTGCATGCAAAGCACGCCAAAAGGGCTTTTCTGCGCAGAAGCAGAAGTAAGCCGGAGGGCCAGATAGCCAGGGGCACTCGTTTCACTGGTCGGCTTACATAAGGCAAAAGAAACTGGCAGAATCGCTGCATAACCGGGTTAGCTTGTAGAATCGATCACGTCTGACTAACTCGACTATGCTGATTCCAATTTCGTCGAGAAATGGGAGAAAAATTTGGCCAAAAACCCAGAAATGGGCTAAAAACCGTATTTTCATCGAAAAAAAGACAACTTGCCCCGTTATCTCGTGTTTTAGCTGTATATTGTTAATTCACCCTAGATATTATTTATTTTAGGGCGTCTATGTCACTAATCGTTTAATGGTATATTTGGGGCTTCCACAGACCTTTTTCCTTACCAGTGAAACGAGTGCCCCTGGTTTTATGGGCCCCCGTAAGAAAAGAACACATTTTTACTGCTTGCATGCAAAAATTTCGAGATTTGAATAAGGACCCGAAGCTTACAAGGGAACCTCAAGTTGGCGCGGTGGAATTTCGAAAAACGCTCGCGGCTACCCCTAGGTTTTCGACTATGGCGATTCCAACGCTCTAGTCAGCTCTGCCTCTTCCTTCCTGCCCAGCTCTAACTTTCGGTTTTTACTATAAGAAAAATTTTTGGTTATGGCTCCAGGCTTACTACTCCAAAAAGCCTGAAAAATTCGCAAAAATTATGCGAACAGCTGGGTGTTCCCATCTCCGTTTTTTTTTTTACAAATGGGTCGCTCGGATGAGATTGTTTGCATTTTTTGGCTTCGCTAAAGCTTTTTGACATTTCAGAAACAGAACGAGTTTTCAAAAAAAAAGAACCAAAACTGAGTTGGGCAGAAACTTCCGGTCAAAACGCAAAAACAAAAAATCGTGAGGGGGCTCGAACCCTGGTCAGTATCCTATCAAGTGAGTCGCCTACCACTCGGCCATTCAACTGGTGATTCCTATGTGATGGGAGAGCCTCATAAACCTATCGCTAATGCTAATTTTCGGATTTAAATCACCATTTTCCGGAAGTGCTGTATCTCTGTCCAGAGGCCCATTAAGGAAATTCTGACTAGAGCGTTGGAATCGCCATAGTCGAAAACCTAGGGGTAGCCGCGAGCGTTTTTCGAAATTCCACCGCGCCAACTTGAGGTTCCCCTGTTAATCATATCCTCAGATTTGAGGCAGGATCTAATTTGAATAACCCCATCACTAAACATTGAGCTTTAAACATCGAAAAGTCGGCGGACTGTTGGCCGTCCCAAGTCCGCGGGCTTCGGACTAAAAGCCAACCCCAGTAGCCGTAACCATTGATTCGGCTTTAGCTCAGTCAAACCAAAAGCAAGATCCCGGCACGTGAGTCGATAGTCTTCGACCGTATCTACCCGACGGGCATCAACATCATAATCGCCCAGAATTACCCATCTGAAGCTGTTGTAAACAGCCAGGTCAGTATGGTGTAGTGTTGAACGGCACGGGAATCTGTCAAAATCTCGAAAATCAGGATCTCGCATTTTCAGAATAATGAAGCATTTTTTAATAAAAACTTTCAATGACATTTTTCCGCGCTGAAAATTATCATTTGAATTTTTATAGCTGCAACAAATAACTTTAGGGAACGTTTAGTCCTTTTAGTTATTTAGCGGTTTAGTAATTATAGATAGACCAGATGGTTCCAGTCGCTTCGCGACTGCAACCATCTGGCCTTCAAGCTACCCTTCATGTCATACACCATCACATCCATCCCTACCTCTCCCAAAATACCCCGCTAATGGCTACCGATACCTCCCTAGCCGAATTCCCGTTCCAAAACTACCTAAATACCTTTCTGAGGGCTTCAGATACTTTAAATGATTTAAATAACGAATTAACATAATTACAAAGTATTAAAAAGTATTAAAGTAACTTAAAAAGCTATTTGGGCGCGGGAAGGGGCCTGGTGAAGAGGGGCCGGGGAAAGGGGGCGTGGCCAGCCGGGAGAGGGGCCCCACTCGTTTTATTAAGGCGCCACTTTCAAAATTAATTTTAATAATTTAAATTATTACTTTTTCATAATTTTTTTATCAGTTTGGGGGTTTCTGACCATGCTCTATCCGAATCCGAAGAGAGCTAAGCTCTAGCTCCTTCCCCATTCGAGTTGAATCCGGGACATGACGGACAGACGGACACCTCAAGAAAATTATTATAGTAGATAGTTTATAGAGTATAAATAGATATAAAATTTAATAAATGTTGTAGGAATAAAACGTCTATTAAAAATTAGCATGTAGCAATGTATTTTCTTTTTAGACTTCAGCGGCACCCGGAATGAAGCGGAATGCGTGTTCCAGCCGCGAGAAGTACGAAAAAAAGTGAAATGGTACTTCTAGTCTTTTTGTGTGATTTTTTTGTATGTTTTTTTTATGTTTTAAAAATGAATTTTAACTTGTAATTAAATTGTTGTATATGTACTTTGAATTCTCGGTTATATAACCCTTTATATCTGGTAATAACAACCGAGTGGGTGTCCCGCAGGGCCAGCCGGAGCACCAGAATGGTGCTCAAGGCACGGTCGGACTCTGGGAGGCCTTGACGGTTGTGGCACCGCCGAGCCACAGCCGAACCCCAGGCACGGGCTTCCTTGAATTGAATCGTTTTGTTGGCGATAAAGCGTCGCCACCTGGCCCCTTCAAATCCGTTGTAATCACCCTAAACCGTTGCAACCCCATTATTTAACTAATTTCCTCTGTCTAAACATTTTTGGCCATGTAAACCCCCTTAATTAGCATCGAAAAATCTAATTTGGTCACGGTTTTTCGGCCGTTTCCGGGCCGCGCGGCCGGCCGACATTTCGGCCGGCCGATTTCGCAAAAGCCGCGGCCGACCGATTTGCCATGTCTGCCCCTAGGTGCTTTTGAAAGCACCCCGGGGTGCTTCCGGCGCACCTGAATGGAGGGGCGAGGTGCTTTCCAGTGCACCTCACTGAGCGGTGGGGTGCTTTCGATAGCGTTGGGAAATTTGCCCGGTCCGGTTTTGGCCCGAAATTCGGGTATGAAACCGGGCCGACCCCCTCGGCCCGAAAACCGGGTCAACCCGGTTTTACTATGCGAGATAAAAGATGAACATCATTTTCGAGCAGTTCGCACAACTCGGCGCCAATCCGATTGCAACTCATTTGGGGGTCGTTTGGTAGCATTCCTTCGAGGTTGTTGAACACGGCGGACGATCTCGAGACGTTTTTTTCTAACCGCGCTAGCAGCGTAAGGAAGCTTGATAGAATAGCTTCAAGCCGTTGAGAAGGTAGCATTTTAAACGCTCTTTCCAACGGTATACTTACCGTTCTTCAACACCGTCGGGGGACAGAGAGGGGAGCGTTTTAGTGCCGAAAGGTGTACCTGTCGAAGTTGTCGTCGCACTAAAACCATCATATCTCGATCTGCACTGGGACGCCTGGATCGAGAAGGGCATCAGTCGAAAGAGCGCGAAAAGTTCTATCTGCCCAACGAGTTTCAGCTCTTTAGCAGCTTTGCCCAGCCTGCTAGCGCTGTTAGAAAAAAACGTCTCGAAATCGTCCGCCGTGTTCAACAACCTCGAAGGAATGTTCCCAAACGACCCCCAAATGAGTTGCAATCGAATTGGCGCCGAGTTGTGCGAACTGCTCGAAAATGATGTTCATCTTTTATCTTGCATAAAGTAAAACCAGGTTGACCCGGTTTTCGGGCCGGGTCGGCCCGGTTTTCGGGCGGCCCGAAAACCGGGTATACCCGAATTTCGGGCGGCCCGAAAACCGGACCAGGCAAAGTGCCCAACACTAGCTTTCGAGGACAACACTCACCCCTCTCTAGGCCGGGGCGTTTTTTCCACCCCCGGGGTGCTTTTTTCGGGTGCTGCCCAACCAAACCAACACGGCAAAAACAAACACTAGTTGCAAACACGCGTGGCACTCGCAATTTTTTTGACCCGGGGTCGAACCGATCAAACTGGTGGAAGCTTCGCCGGGGCGCCGAGTTCCTACCCGACCGCCGTTTCGGCCCGGCTCGAACCCAACCCTAGGTTTAGTCAGAAAGGTCGAAACAAGAGGCTCGAGTTTCAGATACAGCCAACAATTCGTTGCAGTTACCATCGGCTTTGGACCGCAAGGGGGAAGAATGAGACGCTGCGTGACATCCGCCTGAGATCATCTCCTCAGCCGCAACACCAATAATCTATTTCCTATTCTAAAAACTGTTATAAAAAGCTAGAATTCGTGTCCGAAACTTCCATTAGCTGAAAAGTCCCCATGTCGACATCTACTCGAGCAATTGCGCACCACGTGATCGGCACATTGACGCTTGAAAGCACGCTTCTCCTTCCAATACAGCCGGTCTCTGCGGTCTACACTAATGTTAATAGCCTATTGCTTTTTCACATCAAATAAAATTCAGTCACAAAAATTTTTATCTGCTCTTCCGCTCCTCGCGACACCGTATTTCCAGGCATTTTATTGGGGGTAAAAATAGGATAGGTATCGGGATAGGGATAGGAGATACGAGATAGGGAATTTCGGGATTGAGGAAACACCCCAAAACAGACAAGTGATCCTTATCCAAGTTTTTTGGGGTCATTTTAGGCTACTTTTTCACGGCAAATGCAGCGTAATGCTCTAGTCCCAGGCTAAGCGGAAGCGGAGTCAAATCGAGCTTGACAGAGCTAAGCCAGCTATGAAAAGCTAAGCCACGGTGAGGGTATTTCTTATCACAGCGAAGTCTGAGCATAAACTAATCTGACAAGAGGACCAAAATGACCCCAAAAATTATGCCCCCCGAGCTCGAATAGTACCGACAAGTTCCCGAGGATCTTCCGGATCGCAGCAAATAGGAGATCATAAATTACGAAATAAAATGACAGTCAAGTCCGTGTAGCAGATAATAAAAATGAAGAAGATGAGAAAGGCCAACAAAAAAACAAAACCGTACAATTTGGGATAGACAAGTTAAAAATACAAAAAAATGAACGTAAAACTTGTTTCCCTCCGATGTACGCTCAGTTGCGCAACGCCTCGAAGCTTGTGAAGACGGTGGCCAGGCACACCTAAATTTGGTTAGAATCTTCAAGAAAATCAGAAACTGCAATTCCAATCCCGTCGGCATTCATTACTAGGGAGACGCCTCCCCGGATACCATTCGTCAGTATCGCAGCTTTGCTCCGGAACAAAAATTAACACCGGGTGCTACGCGCAACTCTCCTCTGAGCATGCAATAGTGTGCGTATGACGAACAATGCCCCGAGGCGCCTCCTCGTAATGATAAGGCACAACCGGGTAGAAGAAATGGACGGTAATTTCAAAACTGCGAACCTCATAATCCGCACTGCCCCATTGCTCCGTAGCAAGCGCGAATTCGCGATTTTGGCCGACCATAAATCCATTTTCGTCGAGCATCTCGTGCCACTTTTCCGTTGTGGGAAGGGCGCCCACATGGAGGGAGCGGAATAAGAAGTAAAAGATCCTCATTGGCCACTCGATGTGTGGCTGGGCGCACGTGTCGTCGATAAGGTATGGTTGTACCGGACGTCGCTCGTCAAGGGCTCGTTCCAGGGCGCGTGAAAATTCGATTTGTAGCTGCTGTAAAAGCACAAATATGAAACATTACAAAACAAGTGCTCACCAAGAGTCCTTGAGGGAGGCATATAGCAAAAATCTCGCGCGTTGTTGGTGTGGGTCGATAACCAGCAGCAGTCAGCAGGGAGGATGTCGCTTCCCACGACACAGGCCTGACCGGCAGCTAGTGTTGGGAAATTTGCCCGGTCCGGTTTTGGCCCGAAATTCGGGTATGAAACCGGGCCGCCCGAAAACCGGGCCGAGCCTCTCGGCCCGAAAACCGGGCCGCCCGAAATTCGGGCCGACCCCCTCGGCCCGAAAACCGGGCCGCCCGAAAACCGGGCCGTCCCCTTCGGCCCGAAAACCGGGCCGCCCGAAATTCGGGCCGTCCCCCTCGGCCCGAAAACCGGGCCGCCCGAAAACCGGGCCGTCCCCTTCGGCCCGAAAACCGGGCCGCCCGAAATTCGGGCCGTCCCCCTCGGCCCGAAAACCGGGCCGCCCGAATTTCGGGCCGAGGCTCGCGGCCCGAAAACCGGGTCAACCCGGTTTTACTATGCAAGTTAAAATGAACATCATTTTCGAGCAGTTCACACAACTCGGCGCCAAACCGCTCGCAACTCATTTGGGGGTCGTTTGGTAGCATTCCTTCGAGGTTGTTGAACACGGCGGACGATTTCGAGACGTTTTTTCTAACCGCTATAGCAGGCTGGGCAAAGCTGGTAAAGAGCTGAAACTCGTTGGGCAGATAGAACTTTTCGCGCTCTTTCGACTGATGCCCTTCTCGATCCAGGAGTCCCAGTGCCGATCGAGATATGATGGTTTTAGTGCGGCGACAACTTCGACAGGTACACCTTTCAGCACTAAAACGCCCCCTCTCTGTCCCCCGACGGTGTTGGAGAACGGCAAGTATACCGTTGGAAAGAGCGTTCAAAATGCTACCTTCTCAACGGCGAAGCAATTCTATCAAGCTTCTTTACGCTGCTAGAGCGGTTAGAAAAAAACGTCTCGAAATCGTCCGCCGTGTTCAACAACCTCGAAGGAATGCTACCAAACGACCCCCAAATGAGTTGCGAGCGGTTTGGCGCCGAGTTGTGTGAACTGCTCGAAAATGATGTTCATTTTAACTTGCATAGTAAAACCGGGTTGACCCGGTTTTCGGGCCGCGAGCCTCGGCCCGAAATTCGGGCGGCCCGGTTTTCGGGCCGAGAAGGTCGGCCCGGTTTTCGGGCGGCCCGGTTTTCGGGCCGAGGGGACGGCCCGAATTTCCGGGCGGCCCGGTTTTCGGGCCGAAGGGGACGGCCCGGTTTTCGGGCCGAGGGGGTCGGCCCGAATTTCGGGCGGCCCGGTTTTCGGGCCGAGAGGCTCGGCCCGGTTTTCGGGCGGCCCGAAAACCGGGTATACCCGAATTTCGGGCGGCCCGAAAACCGGACCGGGCAAATTGCCCAACACTACCGGCAGCATCATGCGGTTGACCAAGACCGCGCCAATCACGATCGTCACGTCCGAGAATTCCATCCTGAAAAAAATATATGATCCAAATAATGAGGCAAGAACTGTAAAAGAAAAACCCCCGGTTTTAATAAAAAGCGTGACACTGCTGCTCTAGGATTAAAAATGGGTGAGAGGCCTAGAAACTCAAGCGCTTCTTCCAAAAAAAAGCTAAAAAAACCAACGAGGCTATCAATATCTCCAAAATCAAATCAATCAATGGCATCAAAAATTCGCAAGCGTCGCAAATGATCGTTGTTGATTTCCGTACGATCCTATCTACACAGGGGGGGGAACCTTTTGGCATGCAACGCCGGTTATCCCCCATCGATGCTGATTATTCGCAAAGGTTTTCAACAGCTATTGTAGTCTATTTCCTTTTTTATGCATCTTCAATGTGGTTCAAAACTTAATTAATGTCCCATTTGCAGGTAATCACTTTGTAAAAACATCATGCTATCTTTGACCCACAAATTGGCCCAAAAAACCACTTTTTCTACGCTGAAAACTGATTCAAAATAGCTATTACTAGTTTTTCTTTGTTGATTGCATGGTTTCATTCTCAAAATCAGTATCAAAACCTGAAAAGCATTGATTGCCATCACCTAGTGCCGCGGGCGATCGGCGCCCGTCAGTAGAAAGGCCTCTGAAGACCCCCCCATGCCGCCCTTTTTGTCGAGTTCGACCCCTCTATGCAAAAATTTTTTGCCTTTTCTCTCCTTATAATGAATAGGCTTTTTGATTAGTTTTCTGACTTTTGAAAACCCTCAAAGTAAAAAAAAGTGGAATGAGTGGAAAAAAGAAGAGAAGAGACTTTGCTAGCGAGTATCAACGAGAAAATTCGTTAAAAAGTTACAAGAATTCAAAGAAACAAGAGAAAACAGTTGCGAATTGTGAGACAGAAGCTGCACGACGATCCTCATCTGCCTGCCCGCATCGATTACAGTCGTAGTTTTATAATTCCAGTTTTCTAAAAGTTTATGTGCAATAATTCATAATGTATAAAGGCTTTATTCGTCGTGTCTGTATATTTTAATCAGAAATAAAGAATAAATTATTTAAGATTTCAGGACATTTTCGATGGCGGCGCTTCAGAGATGTCGGAATTGGAGCGAGCACTCGGTGTCCGTCTCCACCGATCTGTCCCTGTTTTTGGGCCCCGGTATGCGTCTAACAATCGAAATTTAGCAATAGAAAACCTTTCAATTGGTTTAAATTCATATATTTTAATATCTTTCAGTCGCTGCTCCGCTGGCGAACAAGTGCTCAATGTCGATCGGGAGGTGAAGCCAGCAGCTGTGCCCCTTCTCGGCATTGAGACGGATCTATCGTCGTCTGCGTATCTGCCGCGTTGATACGCGGACAGGTACATCGATAATCATGTCGGCGCACTAATGGTAAGCACCCCCCAAAAACTCCAAACTATTCTACCCTAAGCTAGAAGAAGCCGCGCTTGAGTTTCTGGATACCCTCGATCGCTTTTCAATAAACTACTACTGGTACTAGTACTATCGCGGCTAAACACGAACCACGTAAGGCCGCCCTCCAAGCAGCCGGCCGGCGGGTAGCCACTGTCCGCTCGGCCTCGTCACCATCATGCGCCATCCACCTGAAAAAAAACTTTTAAAGTGATAAATTGATTGGGTTAAGTGGTTGTTTTGTAGGAAAAATGAAAGAAGCAGAAGGCTAGCATAGACTATTGTGGAATCAGCCAAACCAAAAGCTCTACGCAGTAAACTACGTCTCAGAATGAAGCCTAAGTCTAAACTCCGCAAAGTCTCTCTCAAGCTAAGCCAAGCTTCCTTTAAAGCCAGGCCAATGTTTGGACTTAAGCCAAGCAAAGCAGAGATGAAGCTAAGTCACGCCGATACTGAAGCTGAAAAACAAAGCAAACGAAGCAAACGAAGCAAACGAAGCGAAGCCTAGAATAGCGACCTTTGTTTTTGGACAACTACTACTCTTAGCTTAACAAACACGAACCTTGATCTCATCAAACTCATCAAGCACGACCGTCGGGTAAGGAAATTCCGATCGGCCGTCCCGTCGTCGTCGGCGAGTCCGTCGGGTTATTAGCTTCCGATCGGACCGCAACAACTTGACCAAACCTGGAAGAGAAACATTTTTAAAGCTACTGCTGCTAAACACGAACCACGTAACGCCGCCCTCGTAGCAGCCGGCCGGCGGGTCGCCAGTTTCCGCACGGCCTCGTCACCATCTTGCGCCAGTACAGCCATCTGCACGGTCGCTAGCTGAAAAAGAAACATTTTGAAAGTGATAAATTGATTGGATTAAGGTGTTGTTTTCTAGAAATCTACTAGGAAAAGCTTGAGTAATCGTGGAGAAAGATGGGCAGGAGGCTAGCATAGACTATTGTGGAATCAGCAAAGACAAACGCACTACGCTGTAAACTACGTCTAAGAATGCAACATAAGCCTGAACTTAAGCCTCATCTAAAGTAATGCAAAGTCTGGCCCAAGCTAAGCCAAGCTTCCTTTAAAGCCAGGCTAAATTTGGGCTTAAGCCAAGTCATCCCGCTAATGAAGCCGAAAAACGAAGCTAACGAAGCAAACGAAACGAAGCCTAGAATAGAGAGCTTTGTTTTTGGACAACTACTACTCTTAGCTAAACCAATACGAACCTCGATCTCTTCAAGCACTCCAACCAGGGCCGTCGGGTCAGCAACTTCCGATCGGCCCCGCGCTCGCGCCGCTCGCGCCGCTCGCAATTTTCAGGTGAGCCACGTCTAAAGCGAGGAAAAACTTCAAAATTTGGTGTTGCTCACCTTGCCATCGGCCCATCTTGACACCATACAGGTTCGGCGAGTTGGTGAAGTTTGGTGGGGACGATGATGAGCGGAAGTGTGGACCCGTCACTCCATTCCACACGTCAAATGGTAGACGATCTGCAAAAAAAACGATCATAAAAGCCTTCAAAACAGAATACCGACATGGTCATGTGGAGTTCTTGCTTTCCTTGTCGACCAGTGGATGATTGGGGGCCGAGAACGAAGAGAGATGTCGATCCGAACTTCCGTGGATCCCGTAGACGAACAACGTCACGTTGGCCATCCAGCGACGTGGCGGGGGAGTGGCCCTGAAATATCAAATTTTATATAACAACTGAAAGCAAACAGCTACAAAAAAGATGGCGTTTTTAGTTTTTGCGGAATTCATATCGGGAACCGGCAAAAAAGTGTAAAATACGTCTCAAAATGTGAAGCCAAAGTATAGACTAAACAAAACATGAGCCTCATCTAAAGTAATGCAAAGTCTCTCTCAAGCTAAGCCAAGCTTCCTTTAAAGCTAGGTTAAACTTGGACTTAAGTCAAGCAAAGCAGCGATGAAGCTAAGTCAAGCCGGTAATGAAGCTGAAAAACAAAGCAAACGAAGCAAACGAAGCGAAGCCTAGAATAGAGAGCTTTGTTTTTGGACAACTACTACTCTTAGCTTAACAAACACGAACCTTGATCTCATCAAGCCCTTCAAGCGGGACCGTCGGGATTTTAATGTCCGATCGGCCCACCACCACATCAGAAAGACGACGAGACCGTGGATCAATTCCCCGCTCACGAGCAGCAATCTCAGCCGGAAGTTCGAATGCGTTCCAGCCACTCTGACCCAGTATCTAAATACGAAATATATTTGCAGAGAAAAACAAAGATTTACCTCATATTCGGCCTGCCGATAACATTCTGTGAGAACATCGGAAGGTGTGTACACTTGCGACCGGGAGATGATCAATGCGAAGACGGCCAGATGGAGACGGAAACATTGCCAGAATAGACCTAGACAAAGGAAATAAAGGATCAAATAAAACCACAAACTTGAAATTGTTCGTCTCCTTCGCCCGCTTCGTCGAATTGCAGCAATTTTCGGGTCGATCCGGTCCTTCCTATGATTTTCGAGAGCCTTCCGATGCTGAGAGAATCGGATGGAGCTGTTCTGAAAAGAAGCAAATCTTCATAGTGCCCAAATAATAACCTAACCGTTGATATTGCTGGTTCCGGGTGCGTGGCACTTGATGCGGCACATTGCAGCCATTGCAGACCGTTTCCGGATCTTTCGATTGAGAAGCCAAGTCGAGCAGTCCGTCCGAGAATTTCTGAAAAAGACACCATTAAACGAGGGAATAATGCCAAAAAATACCTTTGCATGTTTTGGGGGCCTCACTCAATCCACTGTCTCAATGTCCTCTTCTCAGCCACGGCTCCACTTCTCCGGCCTTTCCCATCAACATCAATTTCTTCATCAGCCAGCACTGTCTCATCGACCGGATCCCAGCGTATTTCTCTTGTCGTCGATTTGAGCTGGGCACCCATCGAGATCTGATCTGTAAAATCAAATCATGGTGTAAACAAGAGAAAAACGAACGTTTCTGTCGATGCGCGTGGAACGATCCACCGTCGCGAGCAGAGTGGCATCGGATGCGAGGTACTTTGGCCGTCACATTGCAGCGGAGCAGGCTAATTCCCCAAGTTTTCTGAAAAGAATTAATATTTATTGAAAGCGTATTGACAAAGAAAACGCGATGAAATTCAAAAGAAAAAAAATCGGACCGAAAATGTGGGTCAAATTCAATATTTGAAAGCTTAGAAAAATGATGTTTCGCGGTCTGGGTCCTCTCACTCTCACCCACTATCTCTCCCCCGAGACAAGGCCCCGCCCCCTTTTTGACCCCCCAATCCCCGCCTTTTGTAAAATTTTTTTGCAAATGTTTCAGGATCAAAAAATTCAGAAAATTCTACAATTGATAGATTCGATTTGATGAATCGATTTTGTATCATTCGGCAGATGGTAAGCCATAAAAAACAACCGGAAACACCGGCAATAGCTAGCGCAAACTCAAAACTCAATATTTCAGACTCCGATCGTGCTCAAATTTGGTGGAAAACTCAAATAAAAGATGGGCAACACGATCCAATAAAAATTTTCTGCTATTGGCTGCTTTTGTTTAACAAAAATATCATTTGATGAGAAAATTGACCAAAAATTTTAATTTTCGAATTTAACAACAAAGAACAAAAATTT